ACTATAGATTTCTCTTTCCTGTTGTGACTGGTCAAGTTAACTGCAATTTAATTGGAAATGTTTAACTAACCACATATGATATGTCCGCTATCAATTTCTTTAATTAGTATAATCCTTTTTGGCATAGGCCCATGCTACAACATAATTTCAGTATAAATTTATTCTAAATAATTAGAGAAATTATTTATTCACTTTTTAGGCCAGTGTTTCCCTAAAAAAACAAGGCAATTTCACTATTTATTAATTAATCCTTACCATTTTTCATCATATTTATCGTGCTTTCTGGTGTGATCATATGAGATTTTGCAGATTTCACGAGCTCTCAGAGTTCGACGAAGCCAAAAGAAGCTGCCGGAGGCGGTTGGCCGGCCACAATGAAAGGAGGAGAAAGAATTTTTCCGACGAGAACAATATTTCTCGAGCAACAAAAGGCTCGGCCACCAAGAAAATGCAGATTACTAAAAGCTTCATTTTATGAGATGATTTTGATTTTACAAAATCTTCATGACAAAGTTGTGCAAAATAATATGCAAAAGTAGCTCCCTCTCTTCTCTCATCCCTACACTAAATTACATTAGTTATTATTATGCTAAGTACTTTTATTGTAAACTTTTTATAGTGGCAACTAAATATCTATTGTTGAGGGCCATATGGTATATTTGGCTATGCCACATTGTGTGACTGCAATTTGATGTGTAATAACTTATTGACTTGTAAAATAGAAGTATGGCCAATAATTCCACTTTTGATGTGATTGATAAGTACCTTATATTTATTTAGTTATTTTATAAATTTCTCGTGTGCTCAAATAAATCATTGGTAAACGATATAATCAAATTAGTTGCTTATAAGTTTCATGTAATTAAGTAAATTTTGTTGATTAAATCATTTTTTTTTTTTTAAAAAAAATAGCTTATCTCAAGTGCTTATACAAGTGTTGTTTTTTTCTTTCACATAAAACTTATTGAGAATTTTATTTAAATTAACTTATCAACTAATTACTAACACTTTTTATTATATTATCTAGTTTTTTCATCATCAATCATCAGCTAGCAGCTCAAAATTAATTTATGGCTTGTTAGTTAATTTATCAGTCATTTATTAACTTATGAAATATCTACTAATTTTGTAATCTATATATATATAATAAGAATTACCATTTAACAAAAATAGTAGCAAAAAAATAGGAGAGAATTTAATGCAACCTATAAATAGTAAGTCTTTTTTATTTTATATTTTTATCTTTAAAAAACCATACTAACATTAAATGTTGCATTAATTTTGAGTTTAATTCATTTTATTATTTAAAAATTTCAGCTAAGATCTATTAAGTGTTCATTTTTTATTTTTATTTTTTTTTTCATAGAAACACCGAGTAACATTAAAATCTAAGTCTCTATATTTATAAAATCTCAATTCAAAAAGTAATAAAATTTTAGAATATTGGTCTTTATATTTATGCCTTTCAAAAAAAATATATTGAATGCTATTCTTTACATATCATTTTCCACTAATCATCACAATTTTTTTATTTGGAACGTGTGATAATAAACTTGGTAATGTTTATTATTTTTTTTTATCAATCTATTATTTTTTTATACTCGATTTCAAAAGGTAAAATAATTTTCAAATTCTCAGTCTCAGTAATTGTGCATTTAAAAAAATATATTTAATGATAATATATTATAATATATTATTTGTTAATAGTACACAATTTTGAAAACTCCATTATAAATTGTATGTTGATATCCAAATCATTTTATAAATGCAATCGACTTTGTTAAATATCCACGAAAATATGGTAAACAAAATTAGACGATCAACTTTGTTGGAAATAAAATAGAATCAATAAATCAACGTGAAGTTCAGAGGAAATTAATATAATGAATAATTTGTATAGTACACGGATTTAAAAATTAATACTCATGTGGATTCTAAAATTCAAACTTATACTTATCATCATCTTTTGGAAATTAAATAATATATTGTAGGCAATATTTTTTTAAATAATTTTAACATGTTTTATTTATAAAATAGTTTAGAAAAATTTTAGGTGACTTCACATCTTTCAATAAGGATATATAAAATTTTAGATACGTTACATACGTTATATAATATTTTAGGTGTTTTTAATATTTTAAACATACATTTTTTATGTTATTTTATACAAGATAATTTTATATTGTTTACATCTGATATACGATAAATTATGTCACATATGAACTCCACATTTTAATTACAATTATTAATTAATATTGTTTACCCTCATATTTAATTTATAATTATGAGTTAATATTGTTTACTATCATCTTTAATTTATTATTAGTATTTAATATTATTTACCCGTGCATCGCACGGGCTACACACTAGTTAAAATGTACCAAACAATTGTAGTTTGAAACAATTGTAATGTTTCAATTTTCAAAGTATCTATTACCAAAGCAAAAACATTAGATAAAATTTGATGCAGTTGAATGACTCACATCAAAGGTTTAGCAAATTTTGAAAGTACTGAGATTATTTGTACTTCAAAATTTCAATGTTATAGAATGTGAATATTTCTTTTTCTTGGAACTTGATTAGATATAATATTATTATTTAAAAAATCAATATTAATTTATTTTTACCTTTTTTCTCTCTTGAAACTTTTTATATATGAAAAAAATCTAGCCCATTGAAAATTCTTATTCAAGTGTGATCAGAAAAATATTTATTTACGTGATAAATTGTTTTCTAAGATCCAATTATCCAAATATCTCCCATTTAAAATGTCTAAATCTAACGTCGACTCTTTCGGGGCATTTTTCTATATATATCTCATTTTAGATCTTCATCTTCTGTAGTTGAACCAAAGCTACATGAAGAAAGAAAATGATTGCAGCAAAAGCGAAGGTCTTTGTATTGTGATGGCATCAATTGCTGCAAGCCCATCGGTAAATTCCGCAGCCCTTTCTGTAGTTTTTTTGTCTTTGTGCAATTAGATTTTCGCTCTTAAGGTCCGAGGGTTTCACTGTAAAATTTCCTCTTTTTTCAAGTGCTTCCTTGTTCAATAAGGCTTTGGTTTCAGCTAAATGGAAAGCTATCTGTTGGGTGGACACGCAGATTTTCAATGTGTATTCAAAATGGCCGACAGCCAGTTTACTACTTGTGCTTTTGTTTTGATTACATTGGAATTAGCAGTTTTTCACATGGATATTCTATTTCTGTGTGGAAAAAATTGTTTATAAATTAATGTGCTTTTCTGGGTTCTGTTGTTTGAAATACAGTAAAGTGTGTGGACGTGTCTTTGTGTGTTTTGGGTCACTGTTGATTGTAATGAATTATTGGGTTTAGAATTGCGTGGTTATGTATAGGTTGCATATTGGTTTGGAGTTACTGAAATATAGTGAAGAAAATGGATGTGGTATTAGTTGTTGAATGAGGCACTTCGCGAACAGGCCAAATAGAAGTTTAGAAAGTCCCTCTTGTTGTCGTAAGCACACCATAGATTCTGTGGCATTTTGTACTTATGACAACGTATTCCGACTTGTTGGAGTGTGAAGTAATCTTCACATTGACATTTCAAGAAAAATGAATATTTCCTAGGGGATTCCAATGAAGTTATGGTCAATGTAATAGTCGAACAAGATCGAGTTTTATGAGTATTAATGTAGAGAGCTTGAGATTGTTATTGCTTACTCGGAAGACAATTGGTAACTACTAATCTGACTCTGGTGTTTTACGACTAAAAATCAATGTCAGACATTGGCATTCGGTGGAAGTATGCCAAAATATAATTAGAGGAATGTGATATTGCACACGAGCTAAGAATGGATATTGGATAATATAAGAGATAATATTTTTTAGTACTGATATTCAGATAGATATAGGTGAAATTCTGATTGAGTTGTTTTTCTGTCTTTGATCAAACTTTAAAGCTACTTTCTAAGGTTTTTTTCTTTTCTTTTTTCTTCTTTTCTGTCTTCGATCAAAAAGATATTTGGAGAATGCGTTTNACTCTTTTAGGTCTTCAAAATGTAATGTTGTTTGTTGTTTCACTTGCATAAATTTCCACGATAATTTTTTTTAAAGCTTTGGATGCACTAGTAATTGATTGATGTTTTCAAAATGGCATTTCTTATCTTTCAGGTTTCATTGTGAGTTAATGATTGAAATTCAGTTGAAGCGTTAAGAGTTGTTCTCTGAGAGTTAGCATGGATCAGAAAACGAATGTATACATTTGGGACATGGATGAAACTCTAATCTTACTCAAATCTTTACTGAGTGGGGCATATGCTGGGTCTTTTAATGGCGTTAAGGATGTGGATAATGGGGTGAAGATTGGAAAACTTTGGGAGAACCACATTCTTCAAGTGTGCGACTTACATTTCTTTTACAATCAAGTACTTCTCTCTCTCTCTCTCTCACACACACTCACTCACTCACTCACTCACTCACTCACTCTCTTTTTTATTCTTTCTTAGGCTTCTTGGGACTTGTTTTGTGTTTTCTGTAATGTGTCCATGAGTTTCAGCTAACATATGTGATGTTCTTAGATTGAACATTTCAACCAACCATATCTTGATGTCTTCAATGAAAATGATGACGGCCTGGACCTCTCTGATTATGACTTCCATAAAGATGGTTTTGGTCATCCGCTCGATGCTCTTAACAAACGTAAACTGGCATACCGCCACCGTGTTATTGCTGAGAAGTATCGTAAGGTACTCTTTCTTTTATCTGTTTTTCTCAATTATACATACGAATCCTAGTTGATTCAGTGATTACATATAAATTGTTTGCCTTGGGTATTGCAGGTAACCGAAGTAGTGGCAACTTGAGTAGTTCCTTTGAAAATTGATAAATTCCATGTAGTAGAAATTTCACGTGGGAGTATAACCAGAAATCCTTCTTACACAACTTTGCTGATCCTTTTTCCAAATCCGCGATGTAATTAGCAATACCTTGGTTGAAAATGTTTTGACATAGAAGAGATATTATGATTTATATTTTGGTAACTATGATTTTACTCTTTTTTTGCAGGGTTTGCGAAATATTCTCAATGTTGATGCCTTAAAATTGTGGGATAGTCTCTATGATTTGTCTGACACTTACACTGAGAAATGGTTTTCTTCAGGTAATATGTTTTGTCTATGCAATAATTCATCACCATTCCATGTCATCAAATACGGAGACCATGCATATCATTCTATTTCTCCTTGAAACTGAAAATTTTATGTGTTCACCTAAATTCTCATTGTATTTGCTAATTGGGTAAATCGGTGGTGTTCAAATGACATGTTTGATTCTGATTTTATTCTTTACTAGTGTTTCCCATTCTTTTAGCTCCTAGAGAAGAATAAATATTTCCTTGCTAACTGATACAGCTAGGACATGCTTGGAGCAGTGCGCGGGTCTCAAAAGAGATACAAATGTGAGCTCAAACAATGCTAGAGATTACGAGTTTGAGCATGTGAACATTTTGGTTACATCTGGGCCACTTATACCAAGCTTGGTCAAATGCTTATTTTTTCGACTCGATAACATGATAACTTGCAATAACGGTGAGTTAGTGAGTTAGTTCTTATATTTGTGCAGTAAGGCATGATTTTGCAGTAATGATTATATTTGTGCTTTCGACTTATAAACGACACCCATGCAAATGTTTGCTCGAGAATCTTTGAAATGCTCGGTTATCTGATTTCCAGTTGGGGTAATGAATTTGTCCGGTTTTTCAGTCTACAGCTCTCTCGAAGTGGGAAAGCTCCAGTGCTTCACGTGGATTAAGGAGCGTTTCAAAGGGCCCCATGTTCGGTTCTGTGTTATTGGAGATGGCTGGGAAGAATGTGCGGCTGCTGAGTCCATGAAATGGCCTTTTGTCCAAATAGATCTGAATCCGAGCAGTATCCATCGATTTCCGGGTCTTACCCCTGTTGATTTAGGGCACTATTTTTCCATCGTGTATGAAGAGGACGATGATGAAAAAACGGGATATCGTGACAGTAATAGTATTGACTAAAATTTTAAAAAATTATTTGTATTGTTTTGTGATTTTCATGGAAAAGCAGAATTTCAAATCAGAAACTGCTACTGTACTTCCTTGAAAGTGTTTTAGAATGAGTAAATTTTGCTTGCATTATGTGTTTCTTGTAAGCCATCAGGGTATTTGGGAAACTCATTCCACACAGTTCATCTGTATTAATTGTTTTCTGCTCTGAGATTTATATAACTGTAGATTATTGTTTGGTAACAGTTTATTATACAAATTATTAATTGTACATCAAATAAGGTGAAAGGAATGAAGATGTTCCTAAATGAGAGTATGCAGAACACAATGTCTAAAATATTTCAATATTTGAATTTTCAGAATTAAATTTTACCAAATAATGTAGATGATGGATCTTCTTAACAAATTTTCAAGAAAATGATACCTCAATATTCACAACTTCCCTTTACGTATACACACGAGTGTAATTTGGAGTAGGCCATTTGTGTTCTATTCATATCTATTAGAACTTTTAAAATTATGACTAACTTAAATCCATGTTTTAAATACCGTATCGTATCGGCCGGTAATACCGGATACCGGCCATTGGTACTGTACAATTACACTCAAAATACCGGATTTACGGTTACACTGGTTTGTACCGGGATCATACCGTAAAAACCGCAAAATACCGGTCCAAAATACCGGCCAAAAAAATAAAAAAAATAAAAAAAAAAAATTTAATTTAAAAAAATAAAATTTAAATTGGTAGTTTAAATGTTTTATTTTTATCTCATTGAGAAGTTGAAATTAATGATTATGGTCATTTATTTTTTTACTTTTTTGCATTTGGTATTATATATTTTTATGTATATTTATATATATAATTATATTTACTAATCTGGTAATACCACCGATATTACCGGTCCGACCGGTAATACCGCGTACCGGTGGCTAGACCGATATGACCACTGGTACGGTATTTAAAACACTGACTTAAATATCAAATACATTTAAAAGTGAATAACTTTTGTATTTGTTATCAGATTTCTAAATATAATATATGAAATATATATAATATATGAAATAAGTAGTTTTAATTTTTTATTGTAAAATTAATTCATCTTTAATACTAATTAAAAATAGATAAAATTATATATCAATTCAAAAAGACATCTAATGCATTACATCTGAATTAAAAAAATATTATAATATAAGACCGAAAAATCGTACAAGTGGAAAATATCATCTTAAATATAAATAATAATGTAACTTTTTAAAAAGTATTTAAAATTTAAATTAAAAAAACTTCTCTCTTATATTTTTTTAATAATTTGAGTATAAATTTTTTAAATAGCAGTCATATAGTCACAAGTGTTGTACTAGTTATTACTATTTCTCGATCGAAATAAAGTTGGATCTTAATTTCAAATTTATCTTTATAATAAAAACTTTGTCACATTCTAGAGTTCTCATATATTGATAAGATAGTAATCTTGATTTATAAATATGAAAAATGGGTGTAAAAAAACTATTCTTGACATAAAAAATATTATAATAAAACTTAAATATACAAATGATTGTAAAAAATTAGCCCAAAAGCAAAATATATGAAATTAATAAAAGGATAAACAAACGGATCATCCCTTGAATCATTNTAAAAAACAAGGAATATAATTAATCATTTATCAAATACCTTAAAATTTAAATTACTAACTAAGTATTAAATTATTATTCATCATACAAGATTATATTTTTACATTTCAATTATATTTGGGCTTGCTGGTAGAATTACTGAATTAGTAATACAAATAATTTGACCAAAAGTTCTAAACGACGACGTTATGCCATTATTAACTATTGACCCCGGTTACTAGCCGTTGTCATCCCCAATCTCAGCCTTTAAAGAAAAAATAAAAATCGACCGTTAGCCAAAATCCAAACAAACGCCAATAATATTCATCTCCAATTTCTCATCCTCTCACGATCATAACTCCTCTTTTCTTTTCCTCTTCATCTATCAACAGGTTACTCTGCAACTAAAAATGGCGGCGTTGGAGGAGCCTTCCAGTATATTGTTGTCCGTGATCGACGACTTATACGAGTTCTCGGCTCCTCGATTTCACGATTTCTTGCGCAAGGAGACTGAGGATGATGTCCGTAGGGCCGAGCTCTGGTTCGAGAACGCCCGCTCTTATGCCCCTTCTCGTGCGTATTTAGTCTCCTTTCCTATTTTCGTGTTTCTTGAGCAATTTGGTAGAAATTTAGAACGTTGGGCTATCGTTCTTGTTGGGGTTCGTTCCCACTGTGTGTTGATTAATTGGAACAGTGAAGTTTAGGGTTTGTGTAGTGATATTGCATTTCTCTGCTTTTTTTAGTTTTTAAGTGATAATCGTGGTCTAGAGAATATTTTGTTGCCCCTTCTGCTCAAGACGTAATTCAGATTGAAAAAAAAAAAAGGAAAAAAATGTTTGTACCTTTGGAAATTGAAATTGTTTGTCATATAGATAAGTTTGTGCTGTCATACAAATTTTCTTTCAAAATATGGATTCAGGAATCCTTCTCCCTCTCTCTAATCATAAAAATGAAATTTATTTGCATAAATACATCTTATCATCTCTACTCAAGTGTCTTGCATCTCAGTTTTCCCTCTTTTCTTCGATTGCCTGCCGGTACTGTGGCATTCTTTTAAGATATCAGTATTTAATGGTCTTTGTTTTAATTGTCCTTATCTAAGGGGTTGTGTTCTTTTGTTGCTTTCGTCAATCATTTTGTTTTTTTCAAAATCCCATATGATGTATGAATGGCTCTGTATTTGAATGAGGATGAGGACGAGAACAAAGTTGATTGATTGGAGAGTAGTATATTCTTGTTTCCTTTTGTCTTCAGTGCATTATCGACTTATCGTGTCCTGTCTGGATTGAGTTGAGGTTTCAGGCTTAGTTAGCCCTTATTTTTATTCCCCTGATTTTGCAGCATTTATGCCCAGAATCAAGGCATGCAGAAATGTGCAAGATCAGATTCTCTGCAATTTCAGTGAAGCTGATCAAATGCAGAAGGTGATCATTGTCTATTTTTTCTGCATGCATGTTCTTCTTTATATATGTGTACATATTCGATGGTTATATGAAAAATTAGCTAAAATATTTCAAATTATGGCAGATACCAGAAACATCAAAAGAAGCCCCTCTTAGTGCATCAAATTCTGCCAAGGAGCCAGCACCAATATCACCAAAACAAAAAATGTACGAGTTTTTCTTCACTGTTTGGGCTTTGGGATGCTTGAGTTAGAATTTTTGTTCTCGGAGTAGTTGAAATTTAATGTTATAATGTGTTTCAGACCTCAACCAGAAGTTGTCCCAACTGAATCTACTGAAGAAATGGGAGCACATAAGAGGCCTCAGCTAGATCTTGTCCAGTCTGAAACGAAGATAAATGTTAGTAGTAGCATTTGAATGAGGATTGTTATTATTATTATCATTACCATTACTACTAGTTTATCATGTTTCTCATGATATGATACTTGTGGCAAATACAGAATTCTGACATTGAGAAACTTGATGTTGGAGCCAAATGCAATCCAGAAAATGCAAACGAGTCATCGGAAAACGAGAAGTGTGTTCTTTTTCTTGCCTTAAACCATTTTCTTCTTCTTTGTTATTATTATTTAAATTTTGGATACTTTGCTAGTAAAGAGGAAAAAGTTGTAATTATTAGATTTGTTTTAATTTGATATTTTCTAATTTTAAATCAAACTCTAAAGTTTTGTTGGTCATATTCAGTCCTGTATCAGGCAAGGCAACCTCGATTTGCTGCACCCCAGCACCACTAAAGCCGATTGAAAACCAGAAGACTCACTCAGCTATAAGAATAGCTAGCATTCTGAAAAATCCTTTATTGTTGAATTCGAAGAAGCAGTTGCCAAAATCACAAGTCAAAAGCACTAAGCCGGCTAGTGTTAAGAGGTACAATAACAGATGCTGCAATATTCAATCGTAATACTCTTACAACTTAGTTAACTAATGCTCTTTTAATAGTAAGAGTCGTGCTTAGGCTTGTATTGTACTTCCACAGAGACACAAATACTAAAAACATCGTTGGAACCCCCAACCTTATCCATGAAAACCCTGCCATCAAAAGGCAAAAACTGGAAGATGGAAAATCACGACAGGTGTATATTTCTATAATTTCATAATTCTTATTATTATTATAATTTTTTGGGTGATAATATAAGTGACATGATTGGTATTTGAGGTTTTGATAAACGTGTTCCATTTTTTACAGATTCGGACAATCAACAAACCTTCAAATCTGTCTCACAAAACAAGAACTGGACTTGTGAGCAACAGTTCTACCCTCTGTCCCTCAACTGTGAAAACCAAAATAAATAAAGAAGATAGAAAGGTAGACATATCTAATAGTATACATGTTTGTCAAAAGTTTTACATCTTTTTAATTCCATTATTCATTTGAAGATGTATGTTCGAGAACAAGCACAGCCATTCGTGTCCACGGCAGAAATGATGAGGAAGTTTCAGTCGAGGACGAGGGACATGCCTATGTCTCGAAGCAGTTCTATTTTACATGTAATTTATTTGAATCCATTTCCTGGTTTGGCAATGATAAAATTTGAAAATGTTTTGTGCATGTCTAAAATTGTTATGTTTTAATCTAATAATAATAATTTAGAGTGATGCTGCTGGAACTATGAAAACAAAGCCTAAGCTTACGTTGACAAGACCGAAAACACCTGAATTTGAGACATCTCAGCGAGTGCGTAGTGTGAAGATTAAAAGTTCAGCTGAGTTGGAGGAGGAAGCAATGGCTAAACTCCCTAAGTTTAAGGCTCGACCACTAAACAAAAAGGTACAGATTCATCAACCTCATTTTTGGAACATATAATAGTTTAACCTCATTTGTTCAATTTTTTCTATCATAGATTTTCGAGGCCCCGACTTTACCTCCCTTGCTGAGAAGCACACCCCACCCACCGGAATTTAAGGTAGCTAAATTCACTTGCTGGGAGATTTTTGAAGAAACTAAACGTATATTAGCATTTTATTTAGATTAATAATAAAAAACCATGACTTGTACAGGAATTCCATTTGGAAACTATGTCGAGGGCCATTCAAAATGCAGAAACATCCACGGTGGCCTCAACAGAATCTACAGCAGTACAGGTATTTTCATTCTTATTCTTTATTTTTTTTTCCGTAAAAACAATTGCTAATTTGTCAAAAATTATGATTTCTTGTTATTGCAGAACCATCAATGGAAACCTCATCACCTTACAGCACCAAAATCGCCTCTTCTTCAGACGTCTCTCAGAGCTCGTCCTCCGAGGATCAAAAGTTCCGAGGAACGAGAAAAGGAGAAACTTGAAAATATTCCACTGTTCAAGGCAAGACCATTAAATAAAAAGGTAACACAATAATACCTTCTTATGGCATTATGGGAATTTTTATTTAGTAACTTGTGTATCTGTGTGTTTACCTGACTGTAATTTTTGCACACCATTCTTATTCTGCAGATATTCGAAAGTAAAGGTGAAATGGGCATGTTTTCCCACATGAAGAAGCAGGTCACCGTACCCGAGGAATTTCACTTTGCAATAGACAAAAGAATTCCACCACCAACCTCTGTTGTAGAGTTAATTGATAAGGTAATGATAGATCAAGATTTATGTTAGTCTCTCTTCAGTTACTCAACAATTGTTATGCTCTTAACTGGTAAAAAATAAATAAAATCCTTTCTTTGCCACATTCAGCTTTCAATAAATTCAGAACCTCACCAGGAGAAGAAGCCTCTTTCTCGAAATACTACACCAAATCCCTTCCATCTCCACACGGAGGTATGAAGGACTACATTCTTAGTACACGTTTATATATTTAACTTAGCGCATTACATTTGATCAGGATTTATGTTTTTTGTTTTTTGTTTTTTTTTTCTCCAGGAAAGAGGGGCACAGAAGGAAAAAAGAATAGCCGAGGAACTCTCACAGAAACAGTTGGAAGAAGAGAGAGCCAGAATACCAAAAGCTCATCCATATCCTTACACAACCGACTACCCCGTGGTAATTGATTATGACATCATAATTCAAATATCACTGCATGAATTGATACTTGACCATTTTGAATACTCTCTCTCTCTCTCTCTCTCTCTCTCTCTCTCTCTCTCTTTTAGCTTCCATCAAAGCCAGAGCCAAAGCCATGCACAAAAGTGGAGCCTTTTCAACTGGAAAGTTTGCTGAGGCATGAAGAGGAGATGCAGAGAGAAATGGAAGAAAGGAAGAGGATGGAAATGGCAGAAGCGGAGATGCGAAAATTCAAAGCACAGCCTATCTTGAAAGAGTATGACAATTTGGCTTTTCATGCTTTTATCGCTTTTTATTACTTGGGAGGAGTTCTGGAAACACCTAGTATAACGTGACATGTTGGTTGTATATATTATATATATATACATATATATATAACAGGGATCCTATTCCAGTTACTGTGAGAGAACGAAAGCCCCTCACGGAATTTCAGGAATTCAATCTGCATGTCGAGCACCGGGCTGTTGATAGAGCAGAATTTGATAAAAAGGTTGTTTTCCTTGTCCTCGTTCTATATAGTCCATTTTTCATAGTCATCTACAGAATTCAGGAGTTTTCCTTTGTTGTTCGAACGATTTTTAACAAAAATATGTTTCGCAGATTAAGGAGAAAGAAATGACTTACAAGAGATACAGAGAGGAGGAAGAATCTGCAAGGATGGTAAGCACAAATAATAAATAACCACAGTAATAATCCTGTTCACGGTTAAGTACTACAATTCCCCAGGAGGTTGTTCCAAATGCATGCATTTTTTTCGCCATTTGATATTTAAACATGATAAGTATGTTCATTTAGTTAATATCGTTAGTATCGATTGTGTTAATTTCCATTTTTTATACTCTCGTTATTGAAGATGGAAGAGGAGAAGGCCTTGAAACAGCTGAGGAGGACCCTAGTCCCACATGCAAGACCTGTGCCGAACTTTGAGCATCCTTTCTTGCCGCAAAAGTACATCTTAAGAACAAACAAGATTCTTTTTAATAAACCATTTATTCTAGCTTATGGCTTTCTAATATTCCTTTTTTTTTTTTTTTTTTTGCCCTCTTTTGGTCCCCATTTATCCATCTCCACAAGCAGGTCTGCCAAAGAAGCAACGAAAGCCAAGTCCCCGAAGCTGCATGTCGATCGTAGGAAAGAGAAGAGAAGAGTAGTTTTTCCTGCAAACGCTACGCATCATCATATCAGGTGAGATTTCTCAGGTGACGTGCGGCCATTCAAATAGGGATTACGTGAGATTTGTTCATGCACTCTTGAACAATTGTGAATGATGAGTGGGCTTAGTGTTGGTTTTATTAACCAAGTTACATACACCTAAATATTGTGAAATTAATTTTGTGTAATTGTATGTAAAGAAGCAGTTGAAGCAATGAAATTTTAGCTATTCTTTCACATTCTGTCTTGACTCATATCCTGAAATTGAATGAAGTTTAGCTATTCTTGTCTTGACCTCATAACCTGAAATTGAATGGATTCCTTAAAGAACAACACAATCCTACATTTCTAGATCACCAGTAAAGCCCTTCAAATTAATCATCGGTTTCGTGTATAACAAACAAGAATATGAGCCTCACATTCATTCCATAAAAGATATTAACATTCCTTAACTCACACATTGGTAGACACACACATCACTTCAATGTGTACAATCCAAATTATGTAATCCACTTATGGTATGTGTAGCAAGTGAAAGAAAAAACATCCATGCAAATCACATAGTAGAGAAATACACATCTTCATTATCAACATTCTTCCATGAAATATGATCCTTTCGTTGGTATACACAATACATAACGACCATATCTTCAATCGGAATACACAGAACCAACTACAACTAGTCATGGTATACACAATTCAATAACTACAATTGAAGTATCCACAAACAAATTCAATGTGAAGCTACATGCAACTTTGGCAATTAGATCTTCTTTTCTTCTTTCCAAAAGCTTTCATGTGAGAAGCTACATTACAAGCTATCCACAAACAAATTCAATGCGTGGAACTTTCATGATGGAATGCGAATAACTCGGCTAACTCAACAACATCTTGTACTCTCAACCGAGTCCCTTGATGCGAAACAACTATAGATGCAACTTTAGAAGCTAAACTGCCCATACCTCTCAAATCAGAAACTCCACGTAATAAACCGTACAATATGCCAGATGCATAGGCATCGCCAGCTCCACAAGTATCTACCGGTACACATGGCGAAGGGGGGATATAAACAGCTTCTCCTTTTACACCGATATATGAACCTTTTTGGCCATCTGTAACCGAGACAAACGGAACAAAATGGCTCAAGTACCTCGTGGCACAAACAGGGCTTTCGCCGGAGGGAAAATGGCAAAAGGCTCTGGCTTCATCACTATTCGCAAAGATGATGTCAGCATAATTTGCCATGATATCCCTGATAAAGAAACAAATACGAAATAAAACTTCAACGGAGTAGTAGATTAATAGAAAGTCGAATTTAAAATCTTCATATATCACTTATTCAAAAGCCGATCGCTTTTAACTTGATACTCAAGTAGTAGATTTTCTTGATACTCAAGTCGAGTATAAAAACTTCATAAAAAAAACTTCCTTACCAGAAATCGTCATAATGTCTCTCGATACAAGTGACATCAGAAGCAGTGATGGCAACCAGAGCACCACACTTGTGGGCCTCCTCACATGCCTTAGCAATAGTTTTAATCGTGTCGGGAAATTCGAATAAATATCCTTCGACAATCAATATACTAGTTTTGGATATCAAACTCGCCAAGCAAGGATCATAGTTCACCCGTGAAGATGTGCCCTGAGTTTGATCATATCAAAGTAGGCAATTTTTATGAGAACAAACCTAGAGAAGTTGATGAAACAACAGTCATTGTAAGAATTTAAAGATTTCTTTTTATTTGCATGATAGTAATGATCAAACAACAGTCTTGAATGAAAAGGACAAGTGTGAATTTTTCAAATTTGATAGAGACCTGATATGCGAGCATGGTCCGTTGAGCATCTGGAGTTGTGAGAACAATAACAGTTCCAGTTGTTCCATTCCACACCGGTGCTGAGAGGAACTCCACATTTGCTCTCTGGAGCTTGGATCTGTGAAAAAAAAATTACAAAAAAATTACAATTTTATAGATCCAAACCAAGTTCTGATAGAAACAAAATTTCATAAAGCATATAAAATTTTTCCCGACTTAAGAAAATCTTTACCAATCATAAGTATCAGTGGAAGCAGAGATGACTTGCAGAAAACAAAAACAAAATATATGGTGATAGAATGGAAAAATAAATAAATAAATAAAAATTGTACCGATAGAATCCACCGAGTGGATCACTTCCAACACTGCCTGCCATGGCAATATTGAGTGAAGGTCCTCCCAGGGTTTGACTTTGACCGCCAAGCCTTGCCAAGGCCGATAAAGTGTTAGATAAAGAACCACCCGCGGCAGCTTTGTAGCTGCATCCATCCATGGCTCGTAAAACTTTACCCCTCTCTTCATGATTCACTATTTTCCTTGTTCCCTTGTTTAAACCGAGCCTAACTAGAAACTCATCATCAACGGTACCAGAAAAGTCCACCTATGACAAACAAAGCGAATAAATGAAGAAGCTGCTAAAAACAAATATAATCTTCAGGGAAAGATGAAATGATACAAATTTTGAAAGAAAAAAAAAATCAGTTTTACAAGGTCGAATTAGATTTTACCATAGCTTGGCCGAGTCCCAAGACATGCCATCTATCAGGCAAAGAGGAAGAAGAAGAATGGGTGACATGATTTTCATGTTCTTGATGGGCTTCCTCATCATCAGAATCAGAAACTCCTAATTCATCATCAGCTGCAGATGAAGAGGGACTACTAATGTCCACCAAACTGTAATCTTCCGCAGATGAAGATGAATTGGATATAGAATTAACTGGACGAAAGGAGGTGGAAAGATGAGAGTGGATAGTCGTGCCCCTAAAATTAGTTGAAGAGGAATGATAATAGAAGTAGTATTCGAATGGATAGGCAGAGGATGAAGAATAAAGTTCGGAGATGATGGGAAGCTTTCTGATGTGTGGAGATGAGGAATTGGATGCAAGGGAGATTAAGGAGAATGACATGATAATAACCAACCACTAACCAAAATATATACATATATGGTCTATCTTTGATCCAATCTTCAACCTCCAAGCCAGTCCCTACTGCATATGTAATAAGTACAGTGGTGATGAAACCAACACAAAAATTGCGAAAATAAACAAATAAATAAATACTGAGCAAGTATAGCATGGGGAAAAATTACTACATACATGAACATTTAAGTTCTTGGAGGGAAAAGAAGCTTAATTTCTCCCTGCATAACAAAGCAGAAAAGATATCGTATCAGTTATAAGCATGTAATACCATATGTATTGTCATGTATTGTACTTGGATTGCCAAAAATTACAGAAACGTGACAATTACAATAGCCTGTAACTCGAGTAATACATATAATAGTCATTTTTCTTCCATATCTTTG